TCGGCGCGGCGGCGGCGTTCGGCGCCTAAGGAATTTTGTACAAAGTTTTCATGAAACGCATCGCTTGAAGGAACTACTACTACAGAATATATAACAATTTTTTCAATACCACAACAATATTCCTTTTTTACAGATTACTAGAACAACAAGAAAGTTGTCACACACCAAAAGACTTTAACGATAATATCTCAGAAAGCAGTTTTAACAGAAGTGCCCTTATTGCATCTAACTCCTCGATTATTGGAGATAAAACAAAAACAAATTGATCTTCTTGTGTATTTTTTCTTTAATAAAGAGTTGAATATTTTTTAAACAGATTTTAAATAAGTAAGTTATTTTATTCCGGGGTCCCACAGACGTATACAAGTTCTATGTGGCTGTGTGAAAACTATGTTAGCATTCACAAGTGGTGGGCAAACCCCAGAAAGGTTTTGCTCCATCACATCGCAATGTTTTCTACACAGGGTTAAAGTTCCCCCCTTGATGGAAATTAGTAGTATTTTTCATTACTTTTGTTTACCCTCGGAAAATTTGGCACTTAAAATTTTAGTGGAAATTTTAACCAGGCCTGTTCTGCTGGGAGTTGATGGATAAAACCCCCGGAAAATAGTAGACCACCCTAGTTTTCAATCTATAACCCGCAAAAAATCGTAAGAACCCCTTAATTTAACATAACGGTAGATAACGTTATTTCAGAAATTTATTAATAGCGAAATAAATTACTCCAATAACTTAGCTTTAAATTTTTTTTTATTTCTTTAAATTTAAATAGTACATACGGATCTATAGAGAACATAGAGAACCATGTATGTATGTAGTATATTTCTTTATTTATTTTTTAATTTCAGTCTACAGAACTAGTTTCTTACAGACTAGTGAAGACTCTAGGTGAATATTGTAAACAAATTATTCTTAAATCTATCAATACTTAAGTTAAAATCGATAACACTAGAATATGTATTGCACAATTCAATGATCTAGCAATTGGTTCATTTTTGGCATAATTCGTGGTATGCAGAGCATCAACCAATAGCCTTTTGTTTCTTAAATTACGCGGGGGATTATATAATATGAGCAAATCTGTTAAATAAGCGCAATTTGTGTGCCCATTGATTATTTTATAAATAAATGTAATGAAGAAGTAATCTCTTCTTTCCTTCAAAGACTGGAGTCCCAGCAATTTCTGTCTGCCAATATAGGGAGGAACATAACCTTGCCAGGGCAACTTGCAAATAGCGAATTTGGTGAAAATCTTGTGAACTCTTTCTATTTTGATCGAGTCCACTTCATAATATGGACTCCATATTATAGAACAGTATTCCAGACGGCTTCTTACTAAAGGATTTTAAAGTTACTGGATCTCTGAACTCTTGAGTATTTCGCCTAATAAAGCCTATCATTGAGAACGATTTAGATACAATATAGTCAACGTGTTTTGTAAACGCGAGTTTGGAGTCAAAAATAATGCCCAAATCTTTTATTTCAGTGCTCCGCTTTATAACGCAACCATCTAATTTATAGTCAAAAGGTATATCACTACTAGACTGCCTCGAGAACGTAACTACGCAACATCTACCTATATTTAGGTTCAAACAGTTTAATTTACACCACTGCTGAAATTCATCTAGATCGAGCTAAAGACGATTACAATCTGAGAGATCACGCACAACTGAAAAAAGTTTAACATCATCTGCAAACATCAGGCAGTTTGCAAAATTAAAATAGTTAGGCAAGTCGTTTATAAATAGAATAAACAACAGTGGTCCACAATGCGTGACCTGTGGTATGCCCGACCATGCATTAACTGTCACTTGAGATGTTGTTGCCCCAATTTGCACAAGTAACTTTCTTTGCGTTAGACCCTCTTCGGTTCGCCTATCCATCAGCGCCAGGCACTCAAAATTTTAATTCAAGTAGGAAGTAACAATATTTAAATTTAAAACTAATTTAATAAGGAAATAAGTAGAATTATAATCTGAATTGACAAGGCGAATGCTTAACGCTGACGAGATGACATGATAAGATTAGTAGCCTCATGGCTCTTATGGGCAGTAGCGCCGGCCTTTACAGACGCGCCGGCGTCGCCGCCGCCGCCGATTATTTTTGAAGTTGACCACGCCGCCGCCGCAAAGCCTGTCGGCGTAAACCTCTAATATGTATATATGTATACATATTAGTTGCGTTTCCTAACTCGCAAGAAGCTGCATGAATTTAGAGGAATTTACCACAAAGCGTTCTCGTACTCGGTTTTCTGGTAAAGTAAGGGAAAATGGGAGAGTAAAATTGTCAGAAGTTGCAAGATTTTACCCGAAAAATGTTTACTGGTAAAATCTGGTAAAGTGCCAAACCATCAGCTGTTAAAATGATTTGAAATTTGAATAGGAAAAAAAGTTCATCTGCATTTTCACCTTCTTAAATATATCGTAGCGAAGAAATATCAAGTTTTTTAAGTATTTTTGCTAATTTGCTTGCGTATTTGCATACAATGTGGCAGATCGGCAAATGATAACAAAAATGCTATGTAAACAAAAAATGGCGCCCACGGTGTATTTGACAGTTTTACCAGTTTTTATCCGAAAAGCGTTCCCGTACTTTTTGGCTTTTCTCTGGCAGCAATTTTGCTTTTTGAACGAAATATTTATGTTTATACATATATGCATATTAGGGTTATGATTTTTTTTACACTTTTTTTAAATTTTGATTTGCCTGTGCTTGCATTTAATGAACTTTTGTCCATATATTACTTTTTTGGCGATATTTTTGTTGGTTCGTGAAAATTCCTCCCGCGCACACTCATTTCATTTACAAGGCTGTTGCATGGCACAGCCCCATACCTAGTATAAAAATTCGACCGAAATTCCTTTTTGCCTACCAAGTTTTGATTTAAAAACGATGTGTATCAGCACTAAATCCACGAATCTATTTTACTTTAATAAAACCATAAAACATTTGAGAAGAAAAACATGTTTGAATATTAATTTACTCCACTTAGAAACTGATAATAAATTCCGCTATGCGCGGGAGTTTTTTTATAACTTATCAAAATTGTTGTTATTTTTTGGAAATTTATACAAAAGTTCATCGTTTGCCACCAGACATTTTAATCGAAAAAAAATCATAACCCTAATGTATATGTATATGTACATATACATATATACATTTTCAATCATGAATACACCCTGTGGGGAAAATCTCTAGTTCTGAACTGGTGCGCTTCTAGTACATTTAGACATAGTACTGGTTCGCGATAAATCTCTTTTGCATGCAAGCAACTGGCGAATTTAACATGACGATGTCCTAGGAAGGGGCAATTGCCCCCCGCTGCATCCCTTTTTCGATAGTTCGAACTAGTCCTAAATTCTATAGTTACGAACCAGTTCTAAAATCGACAGACGAAAGAGAAAAGTATCATGATTTTTCAATCTTTTTGGTTCTTCCGTGTGTGCGATTTCATGATGCAATAATGAAAGGTGTTATACGTTGGCAACTTCTCGCTCTAATCCGCCATCTTGAACTACCTTAGGAGAAACTGTGTTGTTTCTTTGCTAATTTCGCTGAACATTTCCCAAAATATTAGAAAAAAATTCTAAACAAGCTACATTGATTCAATTTTCGTTGTTCGTTTTGTTCTTATTCGCTGACATTTGTTTTCTAATTGCGTGAAATTAGGTAAGTATTGTAATAAAACCGAATTATTTTACAAATAAATTATAATTTTGCATTTATTCGGTCATTTCCTTAGTATTTTCTGGCCGACCTATGCTGGTATAGTAATTAAGAGCTAATACACGTAAGTTACAACATATTATTTTGCCTACATTGATGAACCATTCCATTTGCAGCATTCTCTGGTGAACTTCAGCTGCGGCCGAATTTGATTGTATGCATCATCCTGCAGATATTTTGAAGTAAGTTGGAGCCAGCTCTTTGTTATTTCAAAACCTAATGAACCATTTATTCGCAGATTTTGTGGACGCTTCTGCAGTGCTGCGTTTGTGCTCCGCCTGTGTATTCCTCCGCCCGTGTTTTATAGTGTTGCGTCCCTGTTGCGCCCTTGCATTAGTGTGTGCGTTGTGCTTTAGACACGTTGAAGTAAGTTGAAACCAGGTTTTTGTTTGTTAAAAACCTAAAAAGCCATTTATTTGCAGATTGTTTGTATGCTTCTGCTGTGCTGCGTTCCTGCTTCACCCGTGTATTAGATTGCTGCGTTCCTGTTAATATACACATCGTCGTTTAAAGTACAAAACCGCGTAACTGACATTTGCTGCTAAAAATTGGATTTGCTCACACAAGTTCTTGGCTCAATCCTCCATTCTTCCTGAAATATACTAGCCAAAAATGCGATTGCTTTTTAAAAAAAGATAACCATTTTGAAATATGAGTGTTTTTACTCTCTATAAAATAATTTATGCAACCTCGCATACGTGGGTTTGCATTATCTTGATACGCGGTTTTGCATTTTATTAATACACGGTTTTGTACTTTAAACGACGATATGTAGATGTATGTACATGTATATCACATATACTGACTTAGATACCCACTGGGAAAATAGGTAAGCACCTTGCGAGGTAAGCCATGTTTTCTTTCAGTTTTTAGTACCAAAATTGTCATCATGGCCAATGTCATCTACTAGTAAAGGGCAAAATGAACACCTCCGAAGACACATTACGTTGTCAGTTGCAAAATAACGTGCAGCCGAAGTTATTTCCAAGCACCGAACTACTCCGAGCGACTGCTCTGCATTACACGTAACTTACTTTGTAAAGCGGCTCAGAAGTATGTCTGATACCAAATGTACATTCTAAATTCCAACTTACATAAGGCGGCCATGCCTTTGTAAAAGTAAGGGACGTTCGGCAGGGAAATGGTAATGACTGCCAGGTGAAGAGTAAGTTGCTAATAAGGTATTATTACGTGCTCCTAATTCCCACTGGGTATATATAGACAATTAATGATGTCTGCAACATTTTTTTTTATGTTGAAACTAGATATGTGTATAGTATGTTATTATTAATATTCGGTTCAAAAAAGTCCTATCTCAAATGAAAATACTTTGAAAATGTGCTGAGATAGGGCGTTTTTGGATCGCCAGCTGAGATAGGGTGTTTTTGAACCGAGTTCTGAGATAGGGCATTTTTCAATCAAATTCTAAAATAGGGCGTTTTCCAGCCAAATTTTGAAATAGGGCGTTAAAAAGTTTTCTGATATCGACCGTTTTCGACCTGGCTGCCGAGATAGGTCGATATTGCACTCAGCCATCGATATATAGTCGCATTTTTCGGTGTATGGGAGACGATTAAACACGGTTTTTATATCGATTCTAAAAAATCAACGGTAATTTTTAGCCACTTCAAACTTGCATATAATAAGACTAAAATAGAAGGGGCTATAAAACTGAGTGCTCAAAAAAATTCTAATACTTCTGAGAAAAAAGTTTGAATTTTGGGTGAAAATTTGTTGTATTTTTTGTAGTTTTCTATGAAGTTTTAAAATTGGGTTTATATGGGTTTTGTTAGAAATTGAACTTTATTTTTATTGCAAATTCTTAGAAATAAATTAACATGAGAGGGAAATAATATCACTTTGAAATGGGGTTGCTGTTGATATGACCGATACTGTATGTATATAATAAATTTTGTGCAATTAAAAATCAAAGTGGATTTACTAAAATGAACACAACGTATTAATTATAAATTCTGAAATATATTGTTAATTTCAAAAACAAATAAATAAAACTTTAAAAAGCAGTCAATGCTTGCTGTATGACTCGAACTTGGATGTACGTGAACTTGGGTAATGGATAATTGTTTATATGATTCCTCAAAGTATCCCTTATATAACACTGTGGAACACAAAAAAAACCTTTGTGCGAATATATCAGGTTTGATAGCTGTTGGCCATACCAATAATGCCTCATACTCAGATTTACTAGATCAACTCGTGTTCTCCGAAAAAAATTTTCACGATCCAAAAATCTGAAAAATCTTTTTTCTCCAAATTTTGAACATTTATGTATCGTTTTTGGCCTATATTTTGTGGCAAACACCATACAAAGCAAATATAGGCCAAAAAACGAAGAATTTTCAAAATTTTGAGAAAAGAATTTGGCCACTATACTCAGATTTTTGAATCGTGAAATTTTTTTTCTCGAGAACACGAATTGATCTAGTAAAACTGAGTATGAGGCATTATTGGTATGGTCAACAGCTATCAAACCTGATATATGCGCACAAGAAGCCCATTTGAAAGAGGGGGTCAAAATCTCACACGTAAATGAATTCCTATATTTGGCCTGTACAATATAAGGGAAACATTTCAAATTCATAAGGGATAATTTTCTTAGTGATGCGGCTTATATAAGGAATTATATATGCCATACTGTTCTAGCTGGGTATTCATCAGCTCAAAAATTTTAAGCATATTATCATATTCCTGTGAATAAAAACACGCCTAATTTTATTATTTTAATTATCTACAACTTTATGAGACTACCAAGCCATATATATACCTATTCAGATAATCGGAACGCTGTTGAGAAGGCCTAAAATTTAGTACTTTTTCAACTAAAAGGCTTTTTTGCTTCCCGTTTTTCTTGTACTTCCAAAATACAATATTGACCTAAGGTAGTTCGATTTCGAGCTGTCACAACGTACAACACCTTTCATTATTGCATCATGGTGCGATTTTAAGTTATTTTGGAAGAAATGTGTTTTCAATTTGAAACTAAATTTGTTTGAATGATTGTAAGAAATGTACGTTTACATACCTTTTGCTGTACCTGAGTTTGCAGAGGTGCTCGCTGTTATTTCTTAGATTCCAGACGGTCCCAAGATGTTGAAATGTTAACACAAATTTTACTTTTGTATTACGAAGCTATGAAAAAGCATTTCCGAAGCACAGAATAGAAGCGTATTTGAACGAAAAAGCCGCCGAACACATATCTATGTAAAGTAAACAAGCCCCCTGCTGCATCCCTTATTCGATAGTTCCGAAATAGTTCTAAATTCGACAAATAAGATCTAGTTCGTTCTGCATCCCTTTTTCTATAGTTCCGAACCATTTCTAAATTCGTCACTTTAGATATAGATTTCTAGTGAAAAAAACTGAAAAAAAATTAGTTTTTTAAAAGTACCACTTTTCGCCGATTTTGGATTGGTGGGGATCTAGTTCCTATCGGACTAGTTCCTTTTTGGCGATAAAGACCTAGTACGGAACTAGAAATTTGTTTCACTAGTCCGCGGTTTCCCTACAGGGACAAGCTTGCTTGTAGGCCGCCACTTTCACTTCCCAATAGAGCTGTTGCCATCTGTTCTTATACATACTATTAAAAACCGCGTTCACACATGTTGAATATCAATTACTTTTCTAAATTATGTCAATTGAGTTCATAGAAAGAGATTATTTGTTAAAAGAAATATGCATGTATGTAGTATGTACACATGTTTAATGTACATACTAAGTATACAAAAATAAGAAAGAGATAATATGTATTGTAATAACAAATGACTGTCGGTTTCCCTTTTTATTCTGTTGCTAAGTTTCTCTGTTTTGAGATTAATTCAAAAGCAGAAAGAAATTTTGATCTCACGAACATATACATACGATTGGAATTAGAAAAAACTGCTTAAACTTAAATACTAGGATGTTCGATTATTCGCCTTTTTTCTAAAACCGTTTATAAAGTTATTTGAAATATGGCAATTTAAAAAAACCGGTTCCCCATTTTCGAATTGAGAAAAAACGTGATAATTTAGGTTAATTTTACATACATTTTATCTACATTAACACTTACCGTTTGTCAGATATCATGACCACAGTTGCAATATAATAATAATAATAGTAGATTAGCGCTTACACATATGTTAGTGTTTGGCCGAGCTTCTCCTCCGATTTGTGACGAGGGGACCAACAGTTTTACGCCGACTCCGAACGGCGACTGTATTTTTATGAGATGCTGTTTGTCATGGCAGAAAAACATTCGAAGGTTTGCCATTGCTCGTCGAGGGGCGACCACTGTTAAGAAAAAAAACAGTTCTTCTAAATTTTTTTTGCAATGTTCCTTTGATCACGGCTTGAACCCAGGCGCTGCGAAGTGGAAGCGCGGACTGCTTACCACTACACCACAGATAATTAATTTATATATCAACAAGTTTTACAAGTAAAACAGAAAATATTAGTACTTTTTTGGAAAAAATTCGAGCATGTAGAACCGACCTGTTTTTTGAATGATACAGACCGACAATACAAATATACTAGTTTATTATAGACATGTCATTCGTAGAGTATCAATCACATTCGGCAACTCTCACCCCTTAAATTCCATCATCGAAAACCAACGCCACCTATTACAGATGAAGAGCTCGAGTTGTTTCTTGAGGCTTGCGATACTTTGACACCAGCCTTGATATTTTTGTACAATTGTGCCTTTTTCAGTACAAATAGTTTTAAAAAGTACAATTTACCGATTTTAAGTACGATGTCAACTTCAAAAATACTTTTTGTACCAAACGCTCAAATCGCTGCCAGCACTTTAATGAAATAATAATAATAATAATAGATATAATAATAATGATAGATTGGCGCTTACACATATGTTAGTGTTCTCCTCCGATTTGTGGCGTGCGCCTTGATGTTGTCACACAAAGCGGAGGGACCTACAGTTCTCCGTTGACTTTATTTTTATGAGAAGCTGTTTTTCATGGCAGAAATACACTCGGAGGTTTGCCATTTCCTGCCGAGGGACGACCGCTGTTAATAAATAACCTTTTTTGTATATTTTTTTGCGATGTTGCTTTGACCCAGGCCTGAACCCAAGCGTTGCGAAGGGGAAGTGCGCACTGCTTACCACTACACCACAGCGAATAAAATGAATGAATTTCATCCACTAACTGTATTGACTTAGGTTTTCTGGATGGAAATTTTTTTCTTGACCCTTTTCTTGAGAGCTGCATACTGTGCTTTAAGGCATTCTCCTAATTGTTGGCGGTACTTTTAGAGTTGCAACTGACAAAATAAACCTATTTAAATATATAATAAGATGGGATATATTATTTTTCTTAGAAAATTGCGTCGGTAAATAAAAAATTAATCAGCTGAACATAGCGAACATAGTTACTGATGTATTTACATCTTCTTGTTAACTTACATAAATACTTGATTAACAACATTTAATGAAGTATACATAGTTCAAAACCAAAATCTTAGCATTATTTAAACACATGAACAAGTAAAGAAAGACTTTGTAAAAAAAAATATATATATAGTGCAATGGTATGTAATTTTTGC